TTTTTTTAGTACAAATTCATTTGCTTTTCTAGATGGTCCCTTGAGAATTGAGATGTGACCAATTAACTCATCAAAATTACGTTATATAAAATTAAGAGTTGATACATTTAAATACAAAGATGTTTCAAATTACTATATTTATAACTACTAGATTAAATAAACCATGCACCAATACAAGTGATGAAAAAAAAAAGTAAGAAATTAAATTTGATAAGGAGAATTAAATGAGGAGATTTTGTATGAGGAGGGCTCTATAAAATTTAAATGGAGGGGCTTAGGCTACTCAATACAAAGTAGCAAAAGAAAAGCATAAAGTTAAATCCATAGATTGAGCTCAAGAAACAAGAATGGTCATTTTTTGGTGCATAGAGTGAAGAGCCTGGATTTTTATTCTAAAGTGGGCTTAGCATAAAGCAATTATACTTAATATTTTTTTATTTTTTTTAATTTAGGGTTTTTTTTTTCTGTTCTCATAGCTAATACCAACATTACACTTTATCTGGCTTCCTTGCAACTGTAGCAATCCTAACTTTGGTTGGCTTGTGTCACAATTCTTGTAGCCCGTTTATTTTTTCCCCCTTTTATGAATAGATTTGGGACTACATTCATTCCGTTTTGTTATAGAGTCGTCAGATGATTCAATTTATAGAGTCAATCATTGTTATCCACAAATCAGTGTATTGACATATGTCTTATAATAAGTACACTTTGATGACTTACATCATTGAATTAATATACAATAAAGACGTATATTTATTTGATTATTCATCTACTAGTATATATTAGTTGATATAGCCATAATGCAGAATACCGGTTCAAATATTAACTGCTCGCCCAGATACCGAATCGGTATGACGAGTTGCTCAAGTAGACTTCCCAAGAGTCGACTCCTCCCATGAATTACCTAAAGATTGCCTTCAACCCATTAGCGGCTCCGAGATGATTCCCTTAAGTCGACTTCTGTAGTCGACTTTCCTCGAAAAGACGAGCGGGCGGAGCGTATCTCCAAATGCTTGTACATGACCTAAGTCGACTCGACGATACTCGAAGTTGACTTATCCTGCTTCGAGGCACCAAGAGCTCCGACGACTCCTATAAACTTCAACATGGCATAAGGGAACCTCCGAACAAGGGTGAATCTACATGGGATAGGAAGGAAACTGGACACTGACTAAGAGGTGGATGGAATGCGAACCGACCAGGGCATTTCGGACATTTCGGACATTTCGCGTAAGTCGGCCAGGGCATTTTGGGTACTTCAAGTAAGTGTTTTACTCATATATAAAGGGAGTGAGGTAATCCCAAACACTAACTTTCACTCTCTCTCTCTCTCTATTCATTTCTCTCAGCTGCTGCTCCTACTGAGCAGAGTTCATTTTATCACTCTCATACTGACTTGAGCGTCGGAAGCTCTTCACCGGAAACACCTCCGGTGTTGAGTTCTTACAGGTGTTTACAACGGTTTGAAGACGATTTCGGGACGGTTCGAGCATCACCACCAGTTCACTGCAGCGGTTTGAAGGCAATTTCGGGACGATTCGAGCAGATTGGAACTCATCACCACCGGTTCACTTCAGATCCCGAAGTAGACTCATCATTAGTGTAGAGATGAAAGAATATTATTAATATTTAATTTAAATGTGTAAGTTGGGTGAAATACAATTTATCATATATATTTATTTATAATAAAAAAATAACGTCGTGTACAAGAAGGCCACGTGGAAAATCAATTTCGGTCATCCCTTTCAAAGTTGGTCCAAAAAGAGGAAGGGGAACAAAATGTGGGGAACAAAATGCAAATAATAATATTCTTATCTTCCAAAGAATGTCATTTTCCAACTCTCAACTTTTTGCTTCAAAACATGTCAGATGACTCATAATATATCAGTCTTCTAAAACAGCCTTATATGTTTGCTTCCATGCAGGGGCTTATCATTGGAAATCAATCTTATTTTCCCCTATATATTTTGGGCCCCCACTTTTTGGCTTTATTCACTTTAACCCCCCAAATAAAACTAGTAGAGACATTCTTAGTAACACAGAACAGAAGCCTTGGAGCTCCAAGAACACCATTCATTTTTCTTACACAAAACATTTTTTTTTTTTTCTCCAAATATTACAGCACAAAAAATGAGCTGCCTAACTTACAGGGTCCTCATTCTTGCAATCTTTTGTATCGGTTTGTTATCGACCCAGCCAGAAAAGGTCTCGGGTTTGAAGAAAACCGAGCTTTTTTTACGAAGCGTTAGAAATCTTAACGAGCAAGATTTCAAGGTGCCGTCAAATGCCAAGCCTTCACCTGCACGAACATTGGATCCGAACGAGTCCCAGAAAAGAAGAGTCCATCGTGGATCAGACCCGATTCACAACAAATGCTTATGTACTTAATATGGGGTTGGTTTTTGTTTCTGTTTTTTTATTTGTTCGAATGGGGCTGTAAATGCAGCATGGAAGGAACAAGAATTTCATGCAATCAATTTCAGGATAATCTCGAAAGCAAGCTAATTATCGGCTCTTGATATCGATTTGTATTGCACAACTGCACCCCTGAGAGGGTCCAAGAGGAGGTCATTTGTAAGGTAAGCAAAGATTTCAAGGAATTTCAATCATTGTTTGTAATTTTTAGATGAGAAATGTGTTCTTTTGTGATCAGGCGAAAAACATAAGGGGTGGTTATTTGCGATTTAACCAAACAGATCCTAACCTTAGCTCGATTTACCGTCTGCTTCAGAGCAAAAAACAGTTCTCTTTTCTCCTGATCATTTCATATAGTTCATCTTTAATGTTAAGGTGTAAATCTTTTGAATACAGTTTCAAGTATACTTCAAAAATAATATTTATAATCGTCGTCAAGAAGAACCCGCGGCATGGTGATAAAAAATCAATCGACCAAAATCCACGCCTATTTTAAAAAACCAAAGACAGAAAATGTACACTGGTAAAAAACGAGCAAAGCAATGCCTATAGTACTCAAAACAACTTAAAGGATACTCTTACTCTAAACACATTTTACCCCAGCCATTTAATGCCCTTACCTAAAGAGCCATGATCTGCTGTACCTATTCTTACGGTGGGAATTCAGCCGAGCCATCCTCGTATTTTTCCGTGCGATCGTCTGCCAAATCATATCCACAGCATCGTTCGCCTCGGAAGGGAACCGATACTCAAAATGCCCACTCACGTCCTTCAATTTCTCCCACATTTCAGTCCACTTTTCCTTCGAAACCCCCCTCAGAAGTTTCAATAGGTATCCTTTTTTCATTGCATCAGCTGCCCGAACAAACACGCAAAATTTGGAATAATCGAGCACATCCTCAAAGGGAAGCTCTATATCGTCACTGATTATAACGGGCACACAGTTTGCAGCAATTGCGTCAAATAGGCGGTTTGAAGAAGGGGTGTCGCCAGCTATGTTGAGGCAAAATTTCGAGGCGGCCATTCCTTTACCGGCATTTTTCACGCCGCTCGATTGGGCTGTGCCGAACGTGAAGTGAACGTCTTTTTCATCTTTTAGTAGGTAGTAGAGTTCATGACGAATTGCTCCGCCCTGAACAGTATAAAATCCAATAAAAAGATCAAAATCATGTTGAAGAACAAAAAAGCAGGAAAAAACAGAAAGCACCATCACAAAAAAAGTCCTAACATACACAAAAACTAGCAAAAGCAGGAAAGCGAAAACAACAAAAAAAAAAAGGAAAAAAAAAACCAAACTTACATCTTTCCTGTAAATTGCTCCTTGAAAATACACTAATGTGGGCCGTTCGTCAAAACTTGCCGACTCGCCACCCGGGACCTTCCTCACCATATGCTTGTAAGGAGCAATCACATCCTTCTCCAAGTTAGCCACCTTATTCGAGTACCTCCCAAAATCCGAGAGCACAAACATGCAAGATCCCAATTTTCTCCTCACAAACAACATGCTGTTCGGGTGATGAGCCATGATCACGTGATCCCTCCCGCCCAATTTTCTCCACTCCTTCCTATTCTTCAAAAACTCCACCAATTTCTCCTGAAGCACTCGATCCCCACCAAACTTCTGACCTTCGTGACGCTTAGAATTGCGGTTGTAACTTAAGGACGAGAAAAACGGGACGAATATCACATCTGCTTCGTTCGAGTTCGTGACTCTAAATGCAGTACACGGCCGAGTTATATTTTCGGTGCTCGATGCAAGAAGATCCAGCGTCAGCCAGTATTCCACGCTGTGTTGTAGATTTAGCCCGCCCGGGTAAGATGGTATACTCTTTCTGTCAGCTACATTAGGCCACATTTGGCTTGCTGTTGAATCCCAACCGAGAAGCCCGAAATGGAACTCGGGCGGCAAGTCATACATGTATACTCTCAAAAGGGCTCGGCTTTTGTCGCATTTTCTTGGAATATATTTTCGGGGCTCGACTAAAGTCTTCTCGGGGGGCACAAGATCCTCAACTGTGATATCTTGTTTCTCTAAGGTTTTGTCAATGGGACTAATAGCCGGACTCTGCTGATTGTTAGTTTCGGGATTCGGTTTAAAGTTCATCGACAAATTATTGTTATTACTATTGGTCATGGTGATAAACTGAAGGACTGATTCTGGAATTAAGGAGGTGTCATTGAACTCTAGAAGTGACAGTGTAGAGGAAACTAGAAGAAGGATTGAAAAAGCAATTAGGCAAGAAAGAAGCTTTGAGGGAAATATACTCTTTTCAGACAGCAAAGACATCTTCTTTTTTTTTTCTGAAAATTTTATAAAACAATATGGAACTAATTTATGCAAGAAGAAGATCAAAAGGGAGGGGGCAAATAATAAATATAAAATTAAAATTAAAACCCCCCAAAAAAATGGCCTTTACAAGAAAAGGCCTATTGAAATGCTTTCAATGCTGGCACATTCTCAGAACAAGCTAACATTACAGGTAATCAATAAATTCAACCACCTCTATCAACCTTCAACATCCCAGATAAACCACAAATTCAACCTGCACATACAAAAACAAAGCAAAAATACAAATAAATAAATAAATAAATTTGTTTAACAATGTAATATACAACCAATAAATTTCCAAAAATAAAAAATAAAAAATAAAGGAAAAGATTCATGCCCATACAGAAATCATGGCCATAACAAATATTATAAAAAAAAATTAATAATAATGTTTTATTTATTTTTTTACCCCCTTCAATCTGGGCCATAGCATTCATCACCAGACATCCTCAAACAAACAAACAAATAAAACCAAAAAAAAAAAAATGGCAAGAAAAGGAACAAAAATAAAAATAACAAAACATAAGTACCTGGTTATTAGCTCGATTTTAACACGGTGGCACAAGTTTTACGTTTGTTCTATGGCTTTCGCAGGTTTGAATATTCAACCTTTCAATTATCAAAAAGTAGGAACAATGTTTGACCAAAAATAGGATTTTCAATTCCAGGTTTGTTGATAAAAAAGTCACGCGCAGGCGCAGACAGAGTGTACATAAAAAAATAATGGAGTTTTTCAATACAAGGCCCGAAAGTTAGGTAAACTATTAATTTAAAGCTTGAAAGATTTTTTTTTTCAATTCGGGACATGAATGTTATAAAATTATCAAATTAAGTCCTACAATTAACAACACTCATAAAACCATTAAATTGAGAGTTAATATTAAGTTTTAAAACACCAAATATGTTTTTTTTTTTTTAATATTATGCAAATGATTACTTATTATTTTATGTGAGTAAGCAACAATCTTTATTTTTCTTCAAATTTATTGTTTTAAAACTTAAAATTAACTTTCAATTTAATGGTTTTATGAGTGTTGTTAATTGTAAGACTTAATTTGATAGTTTTATAACATTCAGGTCCCGAATTGAGAAAAAAAATCTTTCAGGCCCCAAATTGATAGTTTACCTATCTTTCAGGTCTTGTATTGAAAAAAACTCCAAAAATAAAAAATAAACAAGTTAAATTAAAATTATACGGCATTAATAGCAAAATAATACTTTTTACTAGTATAACTCTCGTGTATTACACGTGTGTTTGCTAAATTTTTTTTTTCTTAAAGTCTAAAATTAATGAGAAAAAATAGTTAAAAATTTAAATATCTTTATAAAAATATATATTGTTATATATTTAGTATGTCACTTTTTATTTGTGCGACTTACTTGTGTTGTATTATAATAATTTTTTAACTTACAACATATAACTACATTAAACATAAATATATCAATTGAGAAATAATTTTATTTTTTTTAATGAATTTTAATATATATAATTATTTTTTATTATTATAAATATAAATATAATTTATTTATTTATTTCAATATATACAATATGGATGTTAATCGAAGATTATCAAAAGATGATTAATTTGATATATTATATATGAAAAAACGATAAGAAATACAAAAGTTACCATCTTTTAAAATACATTTACAACTCAATAGCTAATTGAAGGAAACAAATCAAAAGTCAGGGATATATTAGTCACTTAGTGCTCTATGTAAAAATTTCAAGGAATTAAAGAGTTATATTAGTACAAGTGATATTAAAATACCTAAGTTAGCTAAATAATATTTATAAAATATCCAAACCTAGATTATTAATTATTAATATATCAATATTATTTGTTCAAACCAAATTACGAAGCATGATTATTTGCCAAGTAAGATTCTGAAACATTAGAAACAACCAAGTAAGCTCAGTGTATTCGAAAATTATATATAGGGGTCATTTACTTTATAGGATGGGATAATATAAGTTATCCAACTTAACTTTACATGTCAGCAATCAGTCCATTGTTTACATTGTATAATGGGATTTGCATATTTGCATCCCATATTTACTTCAATGGATTAATTGGCAGGTTACACAATCCAAAGACAACTTTGCCCTCATGTCTGTATGTATCAAAATCGATCTCTCATTTCCATTCTTCAGAACCTTTTTTAGCCTTTTCAATCTTCAATGTCAGACTTGCCCTTCTTCTCACCTCGGATGTGTATTTGCCTTGTATTTTTGAAAATCAATTCGCCCCTCTTTCTCGTATCTGTCGCTTTGTATTAAAAAATTTCGCACATTAAAAAATCCAGTTCATATATGGTGAGTTAAAACATAAAATCAAAATCATAGAAAATCCATGGATATGAAAATTATTCCAGAAACTGAGTAATACAAGCCTGACCTTCGTTAGACAAACCAAAATCGCAAAACCAGAAATAGAAAAAAAATAAATAAATACAAAAAACGCAAAATCGAATTATGGTTCGAGGAATTTCGAGCTTACCTTTCTTCTAGACGGAAATTTCGAAGCAATATGGCTTCTTTCCCCGCTCGCTCGTGCTCGTCTCTGCAAAATCTAGGGTTTTTGAACAGGCCAGAGACGGAAGGTAAGAGCGAAGAAAGGCACACACACACACACACACACACACACACAAAAAAAGAGATTCGAGCTTACGGAATGAATGATGATTTTTTTCCCTCTTCACTTTCGAACTCAGACCAGATTATGGCAGTGAGGTAACAGGGATATTTTAAAATTTATATGGTATGTTTTTTGTAATTAAATGGATGTTGAGGGGTATTTACGTCTTTTGCCATGAAAAATGGAGGGTAAAATGGTCAAGAGTAGGATGGGATAAAAAAATCAGGGGGTCACCCTCGGACAGAATTTATCGCCATTTAAATGATAACGTTGTGGGCCCCACAGCCACATGTGCGCCACCTCATTTGTATCTTGTCCCAATCCCTTTATGTAAACGTTGGATATTGAGGATAATTTTACTTATCCCGTGAAGTAAACGACGCCTTAGTGTGTGAGACGTCAGAATTAATTTGGTTAATTGGTGTGTGGGACCTATTGATGTGGTAGATGATTAGTCAAAATATCTATATTACCCTTAATGATGTTAAATTCCAGCTATTTTATCAACTATAAGATTGTTCAATCTAACGGCTAATATTTATTCTCATTTCTTTCACTAAACATCATTCTCATGTGAACCCAACCCTATATATATATATATATATATAGATTGTGAAGTTCATGATATTAAAATTTGGTCCCATTAAAGTGGGACGGTCCCAATTTTAATCCCAAGAGGCACAATTTCAGTCCTTAATTAATTTTTGTTCCGCATTTGCTCCCAAATCTAACAGACAGTTAAGTCACCGTTAACCATCAGGACTAAAATTGCAACTGTCCCAATCTAACGGGACCAAATTTGCAATTTTCTCAGTTTTATTACTTTTTTTGTTGCAGTTTTTTATTCCGTGAGTATATGACAATCTTTGATAGTAAAAATTTAGTTTTGAGACAAAAAAAAATACTATACAATGTTTTATATATTTAAAATTAATTTTTATTAAAGAACAAATAAATTTAAAAAATTATTTAATTTTATTAGAAATATAGAACTGTAGGTTAATAAAATTTATAAATAAAATGAAAATAAAAGTAATATCAGCTACTATTGGTTTGAAAACTCATCCAAACTTGTTGTTGAATAAAATAGCGGTCAATTAAAGGGTTTGATTCTTTTAAACGGATTTGTTTCCAATGAACCGATAAGAATTAGTTAAATGGACTGGTCAATAATATATATTTTTTAAATAAGTTAATAAATATTTATATTTTTTTAATATAACAAAAATCTATATATATATAAAAAGAATTACCATTTTTTAAAAATAGTAAGTCAAATCTTTGTCAAAATCTTATCTGCATTAATTATATACTATTTATAGTAGTTTTTATTTTTTATTTTTAAATAAAATCATGGAGCATTTAATGTTGTCCTTGAATGGTGGAAGTTGTTATCTTTTGTGGCACACAAAATTCGGCCAATATATTTTTTGCATAACAGTTTGATGGAGAGATAAATGCATAAATCAAAACACATTTAAAAAGATTATCGATTAATTTGTATCTTATTCTGGCGGATAGGTACACATATAAAATAAAATAAAAAATTGATGTATGAAAAGATGGTTTTATAAATATAATATTTGTATGTAAATTAAAAATTTATGAATTTCTTAACTATTACATTCACCTCATAAATTAATCCAAAACTAAACGTGAGATTTATTTTTAATAATAATACATATATTTATTTTTAACTATATACACGTAAAATTTACGTGAGATTTATTTTAATCCTATTATTTTCAATGAAATTTACGTGAGATTT